TCAGACCATGGAATTCTCCAGGCAAGAATACTGGAGTGGGTTTCCATGCCCTTCGCCAGGGGATCTTCCCGACCCAGGGATTGACTCTGCATCTCCTTCTTGCATTGCCAGGCGGGTTCTTTACCAATAGTGCCACCTGGGAAGCCCCAGTGTACTGTATCCACTCAATAAATCTTTGTTAAATGAGCAGACGCATGACAGATTTAGCAAACAGATTTCGTACTCTTTCTTTTAGAAGAATGTATACCATTTCCCTTTACCTATTTTTGTGCTTCTGGTGAGGAATTATGAAGGGAAATGTTTTCTTCTCCTGATCACTGTGAAACTCCAGATAAAATATTTTGATTCAGTCTCACCATAACATAAACGCAATTAAGGTCATCACATAAATTGGCAAAGATCTGGAATTGAGCCACTGACTCAACTTGGAATGAGTGACATCTTCCAAGGCAGGTGATTTAAGTGACTGGAATTTTCCAGGGTAGGTTTGTAGCCAAGAGGGAAAATAACAGAGGCTCCTGGGTTGCAGCTCCTCTGGCAAATAAATGTTTGAAAATGGACCAGTGCAGGGAACTTTCAGCATAATAAACACTTTTTTTTTTTTTGGCATTTGATTGCTGTATTTCTATTTTCATGAGAGCATAAAGAACTTTTCATTTATAATCTGGGAAATGTAACCTGTAACATCAAAGTTTATGTACTTCCCAGAATAATGATTCTTCTAACTTCCTGGAATAATGCAACTTGAGTGTCCAACTTAACAGCAAGGAATGCTCAGGGACCAGCAGGTGAATGACCTAGTCCACAAGTGTGGAGCCCCTGGCTGGGGTCTTAGGGTAATATTTCCAGAATTTGCCAAGCTCTTCGGCAACCACTGGCATGGGTCATCCTGTCTGTCGTGAGTTATGCCATCCTGTTTGTCATGAGACATTCTGTCCCTAACTTGCCAGCTCCCAGTTCCATATGAGACAAGGTGGAGACCCAAAAGACCCCCAACCAGTGACCACCCCTTTCCATAGGAATTTTCTTTGTCCTGAGGCCATAAGCACTGGCCACAAGCCCGCGTTAGGGGTCTGCTCGCCCTCAGGCTGGCGCGCTCTCCTGACAGCGTCTCTCGCTCTGCTCTCCCTTGAGTCAGCTCCTCCTGCTCCGTCAGGAAGTCAGCCTGCTGTCTTTGCAGCGCCCCTTACTACCTCAGTCCTTTGTTCTCAACAAATTCTCTCTTCTAAAATACTCTGTGTCTGGAAATTCTTTTCCAACCTGTGCTCAAACTGCTTCAACCGCCAGCTCTAGTCAAGCAGTTGCCAGATGCTTCCGAAGAAAATGCTGCTCTTCATTCTTTCCACCCTCTCCCTCTTTTTCTCCTGCTAGTCCTGAATCTTTGTGAGAGGGACCCTCCCTGAAGCCAGACAAAGAGGGTGGAAGGAAACTGCCATTGCCCTCAAGTCCACTGTTTCTCAGAGTGCGATCCAGAGATGCCCCCTTGCCTCGAATTCTCCAGAAGCTTGTTTACATATGCTCATTCCTAGACCCCGCCCTAGACCTACTGAATTGCTAGGGGTGGTATCTTAGGACCTGCAGTTTTAGCAATACTGATTTAAGTTTGAGAAGATTTACTTCCCTGATAGGTGGCTTTATGTGGGGAAGTCCACTGAGGTTTTTGTGCCCCAACATTGCCCCCCCGCCTTGTCCCCTCTCCTTAGGGGGCCCCCTGCTTCTATGACCAGCCCTCTCTGCCCTCAGGCGGAGCAGGTGCCCTGGCTCTGGGCTCGGGGCATCTGCCAAACATTTCCCGCCATGCCTGAACTTCCTGTTCTTCCCAGAAATGTTGGCACAGGCCAAGGACAGGCAGAGAGGAGGAGACGTGTGCCCGGTTGGGGGGTCCCGGAGGCCAACGTCACGTGCAGACTGAGCCAGGCCTCTCTGTTAAAGAAGGCCGGTGCCACCAACAGACAGAGAGGCTGCCCCCCGACGCGGGTGGCAGTGGGGCAGCCCGGAAGGACCCTGTCTCCGAAGCACGTGCCCCAGCTTGGAAGGCAGAGGCTCGAGCCTTTGCCCCACCACGTAATACGTAAACCTGGTGTTCCTGTGGGCACGTGCGGATCCACCACCCCTTTTTCTGCCTCTTGAGAAAACACTTATGAGTGAAAAAGAGCAGTAGAGACCTCTGATGCTGCTGCTGAGTCGCTGCAGTCGTGTCCGACTCTGTGCGACCCCACAGACGGCAGCCCACCAGGCTCCCCCGTCCCTGGGATTCTCCAGGCAAGAACACTGGAGTGGGTTGCCATTTCCCTCTCCAACGCATGAAAGTGAAAAGTGAAAGTGAAGTCTCTCAGTCGTGTCTGACTCCTAGCGACTCCTTGGGCTGCAGCCTACCAGGCTCCTCCGTCCATGGGACCTTCCAGGCAAGAGGACAGGAGTGGGCCGCCATTGCCTTCTCCAGGAGAGACCTCCACACTGAGAGAATTAGTTATGACCCCCGAGTGCACCTGCAAAGGCTTTAGCCCCCCTCCTATCTCCTCACTTCTCTTCCTCCGAAGACTCTTCCCACAAACCGACCAAAAGCCCGAAGTGAGAATGATGCTTGTTGTGTCCAGGCAGGTCTAATTCAGGTCCCCTAGATCAGGGGTCCCCAACCTCCGAGTGATGGACTGGTGCTGGCCTGTGGCCTGTTAGGAGCCTGACTGCACAGCAGGAGCTGAGCGGCAAGCGGGTGAGGGGAGCTTCATCTCTGTAGCGCCCCCATCGCTCGTGTGACCGCCTGAGCTCTGCCCCCTGTCAGTTTCTGCACAATGGTGAGCTGTATAATTATTTCATTATATGTCACAATGTAATAATCATAGAAATAAAGTCAACAATAAATGTAATGAGCTTGAATCACCTCGAAGCACCCCCATATCATCAGTCCATGGAAAAATTACCTTCCATGAAACCGGTCCCTGGTGCCGAAAAGGTTGGGGATTGCCGCCCTAGACGATGGCCTCTGAGCAAACTGCTGCCCGAAGTCACCCTACAACTCTGGAGCCTCTAGCATGGTCAAAACATTGAATTCACCCTTTTTAAAACTGTTACAGCTTTGTTTTTAGTAATGAATTAGTTGGTGAATGCCAAAGCTTTTTACCCCAGGGGTGAGAAAAAGGATTAAAAAATCAGCATCTCAGAAAAGATTCAGAACTTCTCAAACTCCAGTGTATAAACAAAGCGGCACAAGGGCATGTTTAATTGCAGATTTCCTAGGCCTTCCATGGTTCTGATTCAGTAGGTCTGAGGCAGGAGCCAGGAGTTTGCATTTTAAATAAACAACTCAAGTTATTCAAGGTGTAAAGGGCCCATGGGTCTGCAGATCATACCTTGAGACATACTTGTTTAAATGCACATCAAGGAGCAAATGATTTCATATGCCCTTGGAATGGTTGGGGTGCTGGTGGTTGGAAAGAAAGAAGTATTGGAGTATTCTAAATGTCTTGGAAAGGGGGAGAGGGCGGATGCAAGTAACAAAAACAGGCATTTGTGTAAGTTTGATAATGAGTGAGCATTGGTGTTATGAAAAGTGCTTCTAAAAGAAATGAATTCATATCATTAAACATCATTCTCCCACTCATCACACAACTTCTACTTGCCCCTCAGACCTGAGAATAACTCAGGTCTGCCTCGTTGAGCTCATGTCTGACTTGGGGTCCCAAAAGGGGCTTCATTGCCAGCTGCCCTGCCACCTCCCCACTTGCTGTTAATATGAAGGTGACATTGAGAGGAGGAGATCTACTCTGAGAATTGGGCCTGGAGTCCCGATTCCTGTCAGAATATGCCCTCTTCTCTCCAAGGATGCATCAGGACTAGAGGTACCTTTATCCATCTGAGTAAATTTTAGCTCTCACTCATCCTTTTGGAATGAGCCAAATCTTTCTTCTATATTGTCATCTGAGAAGACAAAGCCAAATCAAACAAAAATCTCCCAAACCTCCATAAACAAGCAAAAATGCTACTCTTAAAATACATATACATATCTCTATGTATTTTCAAGGATATATCAGAAAAAGAGACTGGATAATGAAAGCTAATTTGAGACCATACTCAACATAAAGGCAAAATCATCTCATGGTTCCTATGTTTACTATATATTCATTTATACATTCCAATATTCTCTCAGATCGATCAAAGACAACTCAGTACAACAACCCATTTTTATTCTGTACATGCCAACAATGATCTCATTTAATCCTTATCCCCTTGAAGGCTGATTTAACAGCTTCTTTGCTAAATATTAACCGTAAAGAGAATCATCCTTCAAATGTGATTTGTTCTCAGCATCCTGTGTCCAGGAGCCCAGGTACAGAACTACATCTATTCTGAGGAACAGAAGAGACAACAGACCTCCACTGAAGCAGCCTTTTACTGCCACCTATCAGAGTCTGCATAGATGAAAACCCACATTGCTATTTCCTCTCAGAATCTGCTATGTTTGGGCAAAAGTATTGTTAGGAGTTCTGAGCCTTAATTGAAAATTTGACTTTCCCATCAATGAGCAATGTGATCCAGGGCAGGTCACATCTTCTCTGAATCTCTCGTGGCTTTATTGAGGTCCAAATGAAATAATGTTTGTGAAAGTGCATAAGATGTTAAGTGCTAGACAATGTAAGATAATATTACAGATGGTTTATATTTCTTTAAAAATGATATATGATGAAACATGAAAGTGGAATATGATAATTATTATAGATTATAAGATAATATTACTGTATTATGACATAATTACTGTATTATGACATATTATGCACCTTAATATGAGGTTGACTGTTTGCTGTTTCCTTTGCCCTGCCCCCCAAGTAAACCTCTGGAGGGCAGGAACGATGGTTTACTCATTTTTCGCCTCTTAGGACTGTTTGTAGCACAGGATTGGTATTTAGTAAATGTTTCTTGAATGAATGAATGAATAAAAGATATTTTCAGAGGAAATGTGAAGGTTGAGAGGAGCCCCATGGAAGGAAAGTAATTCACAATACCTGCTTCAACCACGTGGTCCATTGTGGGAAACCTTTTGTACACGGCTGTGCTGACTGAGCGGAAAATGAGCAGGGAGGTGAGATTGACATAGCGCATCAGCGTCCTCCTGAGCAGGCGCCCATGTTCGTCACTTCCGTGAACACTGCTGGAGATGAGAAACATCAGCCTGTCTGGCCAGGGCAGATTCACAAACTGGTTCCACCATCGATTCACTACTAGAGTAACATAAAAGCCTGCAGAATAACAGGAAACTGTAAAGCAATTCTTTACCGAAGATGCGTTGTTGACACTGATGCTTTTAGCAGAATTTTAGCCTTTTTTTAGAGATCAGGGTGTAAAAACATTTAGTTATCCATATCTTATGATTTTTCCCTCCAGAAAAAAAAAAAAAGTAATTTGTGCCTGGCAATGGCATAACACTCAGTAAGTGGATATTAGAAGTCACATATTGATGACAAAAACTGGAGAGTTAGTGAAGAGAAAGCTTGATTGTCCAAGTGCAGATCATTACCTCAAACTTGTTGGGTGTTAATATAGCAAAAGCAGTCTTAAAGGTAAACCTTATGGATGATTCTGGTTCTATTGCAAGCAGTGACTTTTCAGGCATGCCTCTCAGCTTGGAAACACTCCCATGCAGAGTCACTGGTGTCACCATCGCGGAGACAGCTGTGTGGCTGCATGCTGCGTGTGACCTATACTTACCAAGCACAAAGGTTACTGGAATTTGTTCAGCATATCTGTCACAGTAAATTGATAATTTTTCAAAGAAACGTTTTTGGGCTCCTGTAAGTAACAATCTGGAGCAAAAATAAAATGCACAGCCCTTTATGATATTATACTTCTGCACCTGCTTTGCAAGTGACATTCACTGCAAACAATTAAGCAAAAATAATCCCAGTTTTTTTTTTAAAGGAGCAGTAGCTTTTCCTTTTATACCTAAGCTGATGTATCTCAAAAGCTTTTTAACTGCTGAACGTTTTAAGTACTAATGTTTTTAGTACATAAATGTTATTGGTCACTAGACAGTAGGTCATAGTAATCCATTTTATTTTGAATGTTTTATACTTTTAAATGATTAATGCATGGGATTTGGAGCAAAATACTTCATAAAGGAGTCCATTATCCAATTATTAAACATGTGTACTTAAAAAAGAATGTCTTAATTATGCTTATTATTGGAATATGCTTATTAAGTAATTATTAAGTAATAACCCTGGATTTGACATCTTGATCTTACTTTCTCATGAATATTCTCCTCAGTACATTCTTGGTTATGTGTGTTATACCTCAAGGGATGTTATAACTGTTTATTTTAAAGCCTAGAGTTATTTAAAATATAAAACAACAACACAGAATCAACAGTTAGAAGTGAAATTTTTATTATTACATGTGGTGAGTTTTTATTTCTATAGTATAAAAATATCAAAATTTACATTATAGATCTGACAGAAACCCATTTTCTGGTGTTGTTAAACATGAATCCATTTAATAGAGCTATTATTGATATTTATGTTTCAAGGGGGAGATTCAGAATCAGAAGAGATATCTCAAGACAGGTTAATAATAATGATTGAAATCTGGAAAGAAATCATCACGGATGAATTTGAATAAACGAATGAATGCAGCTGTTCCAAAAGAATCAGGACTCCCCTGGAAATGCCATAGCATATGTCAGAGGCCTATTTGGATCAGTACAGCTTTGAGGAAGGAAGCGGAGGGATAATGAGGTGACAGTGAGCCACCAATCAGATTGCTGGTGAAGAGCTGGGAGCTGGTAATAAGAAGATGTGTGGGATTCGGGGTGGGCTTGGAGTGCCCAAAGCTGAGGGTGCAGCCATAGCTTTGGAGGGGATGTCAGAAATTCTACAGTCAAGAAAAGATTACAGGCAAGGCATCACCTGGTGGATAGGCCTCTCAAGGTGAGGCTGATGACAAGTGCAGCCAGAATGGTTTCTGGTACTCAAATTGAGTTGGTCAGAGAGAATTAAATGTGGAAAGCACAGACCATAGAGCCTCACAGAGCCATGTTTGAGTCCTAGATCTGCCACTTACAGATTTGGATTTTGAGCATATTTTTAAATCTCTCTGAGTCTCAGTTTTCTCATTTGCAAATGAGGATAATAATAATAATATAAATAAGACATTGGAGTCAAAATTAAGGCCCAGTGGAGCATCTCTGGCTATGATGCAACTGTTCTAAGAGCTATTCTATTCTAAGCAGCAGCAGCAGCAATAAATACACATTAGTAAAAATAAACGAATGAGACAATTATACTGAAACGTCATGAGTCTTCTTCCACCATTTGATATTGTGAAGGATTGGATGCCATATAAATGAATTGTCAAAATAATACTGTATGTATTTAGAGGATTTATTCAAAACATAATTAGAGGTTTTCAATAAAACTTCCCTTTTAAAGATATTTTGCCAAAATGTATACCAATATATACATTTGTTTGGAACAGTAGTTTTGATATATAGCAAAATAGCTGTTCACTTTTGGTCATTACTGACCAGTCAAATTAACTTCCCTCTTCTCCACATGGGGTCCTGTTGCTGCAAGGAAGAATACAGGTGAGAGCAATGACACGCAAATTTGTTCATGGTATGCAGAAGGGAAAGAACAAACTGGTAAGCACAGAAAAGGTGGAGATACAGCCTCAAAAACCTTTAACATTCCTATTTTAAGTTTTAACTTCTCCCTGAGAAGAAATTGTGCAATCAATATTAATTAAAAGAACTCATGGAGCTTCCCATTTATAACACTGATAAAATTTTTTAAGACTATAATTTTTAGTCATAAAAGTATTTCATGGATGTAATGTTGCTCAAATTACCTGTCAATCTGACAGGCAAAGTTTGTGAAGTTATAAAGAATAAACATCTTTTGTGAATATAATGTGCCCTCAACTTTGAAGATACGAAGAAAATAAATTCGTTTTTAGCCTTTTTCTTGAATTGAGATATTGGTAAGTTTGGGGGCACCATCTTGGATAAGATGTTGTCATTCCAGGAAAAAGGAAGGAAAGTTGCCTGATGTACACTATTTATGAAAGTGTTAATTATGTAAGTAGTCACTGCAAGCAATCAAATCATAAACTCAAACTATGAATGATATCATTCAGAGGCACAAATAATGATTTTGAATGGTAAAAATCATCACTCAGGGAGGATCTAGGTATAAATCATTCATTTTTTGCCTGGAGCAAAATTCCTGAATCACAAATAATACTTCATCATGACCAGTTAAAGTGGGGCTGGAATGAGAACCACCTAAACACGATGGGTTAGAGTCCATTTAACATCTCAAAAATGGTTAGGTGTGGATTAAGATATTCAGTCCCAGGGAGAAGAAGGCGACAGAGAATCATGCAAAGGAGGAGATTACATAATGCAAAAGTCAGAGGCAACCAAAGGACTTGGATTTTTGAGACTGTATTCATATATGCTATTTGATGGTCATTTAAGAACACATGCAAAGGAAAGTACCTGTACATCAAGCTTATTGCTGTGTAAAGTACAGCAAAAACAATAAATTCTCTGTACAGTAGTTTGTAGATGCTGCCTCTCCACTTGAGGAGTAACCTATGAAATCCAAAAAAAGTCGCATTTGCTACTTTACTGGAGTAAGTGACAGTCATCTTGGATAGTTTTTTTTTTTCTAGAAGAGCAAGAAGACAAAACACAAGTAAAAAGCAATGTTTAAGACAGAGCATAAATCTGTATTTCAAAGAAATCCTAGTCAACAGCGAGTTAGGCTTCTTTACTATTTGCTTTTCTTAGCTTGAACAATTTGGAATTTGGAGATAACCACGACCTCAGTGCTAAATCTTTTACTAGAAAAGGGGAGGAAAGTAGTTCTGGAAAAAGTCATATTAGACATCTTAAGCTTGCCCTCATGTCTAAATATTATTTAGAGATTATGTAACTATCACTCAATACATATTTGAATGACTAAATAAGATATATGAAATACATTGTCATATCATCTGTCATATATTTTCTGCATCCATGGGAAGATTTAAGGTATTAATATATGTATATTAATTGATAATTTCTTTTTTTGCTGTCTTTTAAGGTTTAATTGTTTTAAATTGGAGGATAATTGCTTTACAACACTGTGTTGTATCAACACATTGTGTTGTGCCAACATGAGTCAGCCATAGGTACACATATGCCCCCTCCCTCTTGGGCTTCCCTCCCACCTCCACCCCATCCCACCCTTCTGCTGCTGCTAAGTCGCTTCAGTCGTGTCCCCTCTCTGGTTGTCATAAAGCACTGGATTTGGGCACTCCCTGCACCATACAGTAAATTTCCACTGGCTATCTGATTTTATATACGATAATGCATATGTTTCAATCCTACTCTCTCGGTTTGTCATTGATATTTTCAAAATCAGTGGTCAAACCCAAATCAGTTTAGGTCTTTATTTGCTAAAATATGTCAATAGGCATTTATTTCACCTTTAAATTTCCTTGAAGGAAGTTACGGCTCTCTTAGGAATCAGGAGAAGCAAGCCCCTTTTGGGAATTTAATTGATGGGTTACTTTTGGTGGTTTTAATTTAAGTGTCTCTTTAGTGGGGCTCTGAGTGCACTCTGTGTACTTCAAAGGGTAGAAAAAACACCAGGCCACAGCGATTCTAAGTAAGGTGCATTTTCCCACTGAAAAGTCTCATGTGAAATGCTTAGGTCACTTTCTCTTTGGAACTGAAAAAAATGAGGCCATTATTTAGGACTCTTTCCACCTGGATCTGTTCTATGGATGTGGGTAGGATGAGAACTGGGCCCCAAATCCTAGTTTTCAGTGAGTTCTCTGGGATTCCGTTGCTTCTCACCAAGACACTAAACATTCAGGCTTTGAGAAGATGCCCTGAAGCTGGTCTTTATTTGTAAATCCTGCTCCACAGCTTTCTGACATGGAGCACACAGAATATGAAATTTCTTTGAAAACTTTTGCTTTGGAAAGGGTCTATGTGGAGGATTTTACAGAGCTAGTTAGACTGAAATTATGAAGTTTTTAGATAGAACTGTACTAAACATAACTAATAAATCCTATAGCAGATTTCTGATATACATAGTACCTTATGACACACATTTTACTATCAACAAGGACACCTGTCTTTATTCAGATGTAAAGAAACAATCTAATTCCCATTTACCTAATTTCCCTAAAAAAACAAAAAACCGTGAAATTTTGGAACTATATTCTGTAGCTGTATTTTTTTGTAATCACCAACCTAAGCCTTCAACATGACTGACTTTCAACAAAGAAAACAGGACTTTTAGGCAAAAGTCAGTGCCATTACTTTTTTTGTGGGAATCAGGTTACAAAAGCAGTTCCATTGTTCCATCTTCATCTCGTCTATTTGTCTAATATGAGTACAGCAAAATTGGGAGAGGAACATAATAAATTAAGCCCACTTTCATAATTTGTTCTCATGGGCACCGGCGTTTTAAATGAGTCCTCAAATAACTCTCCATTAACAGTCACCCTTCCATTACAGCTCTGTCAGAAAAACCCTGATCACGTCGAGAAGAGGTCAGAGCTAAAATGCATAGGTTTACTCTGCGCACTAACCTATTTGTTTGGGTTGGAGTGTCCGGCGTCTCCGACGGGAAAGACAATCTCCAGTCTCCCCCTGCAGAGGTGCCTTCGGGTTGGGGCTGTGCTCTCGGCTCACCCTCCACGCATGCACAGTCAGATTTTCTTTCTGTTCTCTGGCTACTGAGAGGACTCGGAGTGTGACAAGGACAGGGGTTAAATGACTTTCCACTTGCGAAGCCCTATTTATGCCAGTTTGCCCATTGGCGACAGCCATAGCCAGGAACGAACAGGAGCGACAGCTGCTGATGTGGTTTTTTTTTTTCTAATCTCTAATTATAACTCCACCTGCCACCCAAAGCACCCCTTTGAATGAGTTGGAGGTGGCGTGAAGGAACTGGGGTCATTTAAGACTGTTATTTTCATTCTGACCTTATCCTGGGATCAAGGAAGAAAGTCCTTTGCCCCTAACATGCTCTGAAGAGGCTCCGCCAACCCAAAAAGGGAGTTAGGACAGTCTGTGTGTGCTTAAAAGGAGAATAAATTCTCGTGAAGCCATAAACTGGGGCAGACAGGAACGTAAACAGGATTTTCACTCATTTGAGGAGCATTGAGGCCACTCTTCTATTAAAAACAAAATGCATGTATGTTTGAGAGTGATGTGTGTGTGTATTTTAGAGCAGCATAGACAATTATTACACATGATGGCACCAGTGATGGAAACTGATAACACACTGATTCATTACATGTGTTATCCTTCCGTGAGGGCTTCCTGGTGGCTCAGATGGTGAAGACTCCGCCTGCAGTGCGGAAGACGCTGGCTTCATCCCTGGGTCGGGAAGATCCCTTGGAATTAGGGAATAGCTATCCACTCTGTACTCTTGCCTGAAGAATCCACGGACAGAAGAGCCTGGAGAGCTACAGTCCATGGGGTTGCAAAGAATCAGACACGACTGAGCGACCAACACTTCCTTTCACTCCATCTGTCTGTGGTCTGCTAGAGACATGTTTTAATTATTCAAAATGCCTTCTCTCAGGTGGATTATGCTTCTATACTTGCCTTCTGGAAAGACAGTGTTCATCAGTATTCTTTAAATCATGAAATAAATAATTTCAGGGTCAATTCCTGGGAGTTTCCCAACCTTATAAAGTAACATGTGCACTAAGCACTGTGCCTTAAGCTTAAATAAGATGACTGTAAAAAAAAAAAAAGCAAAAAAACAAAAAACGTGTTTTTGTGGAGAAGGATGTAGAAAAAAGATGCTTATTTAAAAATTTAAAGTAAATACAATTGAAAATTCTCCTACAGTGTTCTCAAGTTTCATTTGCACTCGACTGGTTTCTTTAGCAAACTCTAAGTATCTTAGGGCAAAAATAGCGTACAAGTGTCTGATTTCTTGCCCCCATCCCTGTATATAGCTCCAGCATGGAGTCCAGTGCATTCTGGATTTTGAATATGTATCTGTCGTCTGATTATCACCTTGTCACTCTGATACTACTGTTAGTACATTTGGGGGAGTTTGTGACCATTTTAAAAGCACAGCTACACTGCTGCATATTTTATATTTGGATTGCTGTGAAAAGTGGTTGGATAGACCTAATGTTGCTTTCAAGCCTGATCATCATAGAATTTGAGCAAATCTAAACCCAAGTGCTTATGAAATAGAAACATTAGAGCTATTTTTTTTTTTAATCTCACTCTGGGGTGTCTTACTGGATATGTGGTGGCCCTGAAACGTGGCTTAATTCCTGGCAGTCCTGACTGAATAACAGGGGAACTGGCCTCCCCTATGGACCACTGTTGACTGGTCTCACTTTTAAGTGGGGGAAATTGTCTTTCTAATCGGGCTGTTTTCAGGAATGACCAAGTAATGGTTGAGTTAGCATTCTAAATGCAAATTAGTCAGTAATGACTGGACTGAATGAACAAACTCCCCTTGTTGAGCTCTGAGTCTGGTGGCTATTCCTAACGGGTACGGAGATGCCATTCAGAAGTTAATTCATTAGAAGTGACCAACACCTACAGCAAATTTCAAACATCTGGCAAACACCAAATTGCAAAGCTAACTATTCATATGACTTTCGGGCCTGGTGCACTGGGAAGACCCAGAGGGATCGGGTGGAGAGGGAGGTGGGAGGGGGGACCGGGATGGGGAATACATGTAAATCCATGGCTAATTCATTTCAATGTATGACAAAAACCACTGTAATGATGTAATTAGCCTCCAACTAATAAAAATAAATGGGAAAAAAAATTTTTTTTGATGTCGACCATTTTTAAAGTCTTTGTTGAATTTTTTACAACATTGCTTCGGTTTTTTGTTTTGGTTTTTCAGCCATGAGGCATGTGGGTTCTTAGCTTCCTAACAAGGAATCGAACCCTCACCCCCTCCATTGGAAGGTGAAGTCTTAACCCCTGGACTTCCAGGGAAGTCCCTATATGAATTTTTCAAGAAACTTTAAAGTTTATTGTTTAAACAGGCATACTTTTCTTTCCCCTCTGGATTCTAAATTTAACGTGTATATTAAAAATAAAATATAAAACAACATATAAAGAACAGAGTGGTACTCTATCATGCTTCCCTAGGGGGGTGGTAATCATTTAGTTATAAAGTTAATCTTTTTAGACTTTTGCAGAAGACACTTTAAATTCTCTAATAAATAGCAAACAATGTGGTAGACACTTATGCAATGTCAGGGCTCTATGAAATAACCATACCAGTCATATTTTCTTTTGACAGCAAGGATCAAGTTTTGCCATCCTGACCACTCTGGTTTTCAGCAGTCGTGATAAATACATTTGTCTTTAATTCCAGTAAACCTCCAGTGACAGGACAATTTATTAAAAGAGAATAACTGATCATTTCTAAGTGATGGAAATGCTGATATTCATCCATAGATGTCAAGATAAATCATCCTTTGTTCCTTAAGGGAACAAAACCCAGCAAGTTTAGATAGACCATGCCACTTCCTAAAAGGGAACCAACTATTCATTTTCATTGATGTGAAAAATCTTTTACCAAAATTCTTTTGATTACTGGGTTGAACATAGTCATATGTATGCGAAAATTTGCATTCAGATATTAACCAAAGGCTAGGAATGGTTGTATTTTGTAATTTTTCATTCTGACTCTCAGACTTTTGAACATTATTAAATGGGGAATAAGGAATTAGTAAACATTTCTGAACAGGAAAAGGGCCTGACAAAGGTCTATGTTGCAGAAAGATGAGTTTATGAGTTGAGAACGTGCTGGATTTGAGTGGGCAGGGACTAAGGAAGGGAATCAGTCTGAAAGTTATTATGGTTGTTCTAGTATTACCTGGGGTGGTGAGTGAGTGGAATGCAGAGAAAGGATGGTGAGAGAGAGCCCAGAAGCAAAATATCACTCGAGGAGAAAGAAAGGAGGGAGGTGGGGGGAGGGAGAGGAGGAGGAGGAAGGAGAAGTCTGATATGACCCTTGCTTCATCCTTTGAGCCCGTTTGCACATGAAGAACAAATTTGTTCAGGTGACACAGTTCTTTGCAGGGTGCCATGTAGTTTTGATGTGTTTTATTTGATCTTGCAAATAGGAACATTTTATCAGAAGAAAATGGTTGCAAAGTAAAATCACAAGTAGGAACTCATGTGTCTGTAAAAATCAAATTATTGAATTAAGTATAATTGGCTGAGCTTCAGTTTCTGTTACTGCTTCTGGCTCTTATTCACTTTGCTATGTGCTGGATCTCTCTAGAAAAAGACGGCAGTTAGTGCTAAAGTTGCAAGAAAAATTCACAGAGTAAACTTTCAATTGAGAACAGTCAGACATTACTGTTTTTGTCAGCAGAATACCTGGTTCAGTTGGTTTGAGAATCATTCACAGTGATATTTTTTCCTTAAAGATAAATTTTTATTGGCTTAGTGGAACTGTAAGTTTCTTGAGAACTTGTGTCTTACTCTTTCTTGTTTTTTTTCCCCCTATTTATTGGCTGCCATGATGGATGCAATATTTGTGTAACCAACAGCTGACTGGGATAAACTGTGTGTCAATCCAGATGTATGGAGGTTTCTGATACATGGTATTGGACAGAACTCTGCCAAAAATCAAACTAAAGTGGATTTGATTTGTTTTTCTTTTTCAATTAATTTTTTTCTCTTTATTCCAGGGAAGAAACAGTGAACTCCAAAGATTCGAAAGACTGTTGAGTTTTATTACAGATGAAGTCTAAACTCATAAGACTGGCTATTTGAGGAATCATCATTACTTTCCTTACACAGAGTAACTGCCAACTCAACAGAACAGAAATGCATTAGTTCACATTCTGAAGGTCACCTTTTTCTAATGGAAGGTACGGAAACTTTGTTCTATTTTAGGGATGAAAGCTTAGAGTCTAGAGAATTATTACTATAGTGCTTAAAGTGTATCCTGTACTCTGTAATCAATGATATTTCTCAAATCAATGGTACCGCTTAGCTCAGACACATTCCAGATGGCTAAAGAAACAATTACAACATAGGGCCAATAAAAATCAGTTTAATTTCATAAGAAAAGGTATGCAAAGCCAAGTATAATGTTTATTCCAAACAGCTGTGAAATTCTGTTACTTCAGCACCTTAGTGGTGGAAGATGGCCACTCTGGAAATTATATTACTGTGTATATAAGGGGAAGATACAGGGCTCCCTAGGTGGCACAGTGGTAAAGAATCTGCAGGGCAATGATGCTTCTCTTAAAGCAAGAGATGTGAGTTTGATTCCTGAGTTGGGATGATCCCTTGGAGTAGGAAATGGCAACTCCAGTATTCTTGTCTGAAAAATCCCATGGACAGAGGAGCCTGACGGGCTGTAGTTCATGGGATTGCAAAGAGTCGGAGATGACTGAGCACACACAGACAAGGGAAGATATAGATAAGTGGGTAAAAAAAATCTACATATAGATCCTAGAGCAAGGATTGTTTCTGGGTCTCTGAAATGACAGATTGTATATTCTGAAGACATTTTTAGTTTCTTAACACATACATACTAGCTCCTTAATAATGTTACTATTGAAAAGGGTCATGGGTTTGGAGTAATAGAGTGAAGGAGAAACTCAAACTTTTGCTTCATAAAATTTTGTATTTTTAGAACCACATTCATATTTTCATATTTAATCATATGCAATAAAACATCTTACATGATGCTTCTTCCAACTTTATACCTCCAGCCCAG